TGATTAAATTTTGTCCTCTGGGGTTTTGTCTGATGGGATATGTCCAGTGAGAAATCGTCAGATGAGAAATGTGTTGAAGCCAGAAGGAAAGAGGTGAGGTGGCATGTTATGGCGGCCTGTGGTAGTAGAGTGAAGGGCAGACTCTCAATGTTTGTTTGGTAAATAGAAAGTTTAGGTGTCTGGGCATACCAAGCGGGTATACTCTTATGCGCTGCTGGTATACTACACTTTATGTTACAGCTATATAACCGGTATGCTGTCTATTTACGACTGTTGTAGTTAGATAACGTTGGTGATATATTCGTGTTATGGTATATTAGACTGCTATTATATGTTCTAGCGCATATTTCATCACTCCGTATACTATAGGTAATTTACTGCTGTGGTATACTAAGCAACATCTATAATTAACAGGTGTAAATTAACACAAAGAACATTAGCACAACTCCCAAAATTATAACTTTCTGTCGTTAAATCTCAATCTCCATGTTGTTCGTTATATGTACAGTTCTGAATATACTGTAATTTAGCGTTTTAATGTGATTATCCTTGATCCAGTTTTATATACTGTACTGTATATCAGTGAGGTTAGATTTAATAGCTAGTATGCAGTGTGGAATATTGTGGGTATGTGTCGTAAAAGGAGCGAAGAAAATGTTAGATCGCACCAGCTGTTGGGGTGACATCTGGCAACTCTACGGCCATGGTAAGTCGTGTTTCACTCGTGTGATTAATATAAAATTGTCTTACATATTGTACGTAATTTAAATAATATAGTTTAAGTAAATCAATTCCTTGTTCTGCGTGGTACTGTTCTCACCCATGATGTTATTGGATCGTATTTTTCAGCTGTAATGATGTGAATGTTTTGTTTGTTTCCTGTAAACAGGTTTTTATTTGACGTAGTTTATGGCTTCAGTTATCTTATCTGGTCACCTATTATGGCCAGACATTAAGCCGTATACAATGGTGTTTTGTTAAAATATTTGACATGCCCCTTTCAGTACGTTCTCTTGCACAATTCACAATAACAAGAGTATTGTGGTTTCCCCATGCAGTCAACAGTAATACAAGATACAACTCCACAAAAAGAAAGTTAATATTCCGATAGGGATATATATATATATATATATATATTCATATTCTTATATGCCTCACTTAACCGTGTGTGAAATAATATAAATATTTTATATTATTTCACTCAAGGTTGAAAGATTATAGTTTGTAGTATAAGTTGTACAAGTGTAGTGAGACGCGAGGAAGGAAGATTGGTATAGAAATGAGAAGAATGGTTTGGTTAATGGGAGGCTAATGGAAGGACGCAAAGGTGGTGTGTATAGTAATGGTCAGACTTTCTACCCAGGCTTATCACTACTGCCCGCTAGGAATACTAACACTACTCTCACCTAACCTATCCTAACCTATTTTTCCCCAAGACGCCACTCACCATATTAGTCAAACATAATATTACGGAGAGAAATTATCATATTGAAGAGTATATATTTTATTTATCTTGTGTGTTAATGTCTTGATATTTTACTGAGGGTATCTGCCACTGAACTAGTCAAGACAGTCGGGTGATTAGCCTCTAATGTTTAACTATGATATTTAAGGACAGTCTGAAGCAGCACCTGGGTCAAGACTGTATTTTGACGTGTCTGAGCATATATTATGTAATGTTATTTGCCAGTAAATTGAACAAGTTGGTAGATACTGTAGTGTATTGCGTGGGCCAGGCGCCGGAGGGTTGCTACACCGGCGGCAAAAGTACCAGAGTTTTATTTTTTACAAACAAAATTACCCGCCATCGCTCTGATTGGTTACATGGTATAACCTTGACTCACAGTGCGTCCTCCCTGACAAGGGTAACCACCTCCAGTAAGCGACGTGGAGATATCTCAGTCAGGGAATCTAACTTAACCTAACCAAACCTAACTGCTTGCAATTTGGAGCAATAGCTGGAACACGGAGCCAGACACGTCCTTTTATTTTTTATAGATGTGTAAAGACCACTGATGTAACTAAACTAGTAACAGGCAGCCGAGAGGTTGTAGTACTGTAGCGTTTAACGGCTGTATATTATATACACAAATCATCGATATTGGACAACTCTGGTAAGGAGTCTATACTATGGTGGGCTAAGGAAATTAATTTAATGTAAGGCATCATTCGTGTGTACCTTTGTCTTATTTTTAACTGGACAGTTGTTTGCCACAAAGATCACACCAAAACCCACTTACAGTATTATGAGTTAGACGCAGATCCTGGTAAAAAGACCACAATATTTATGACCTTTAATATTAAAGGTCTTCACTGTATTTTCTTTATTGTAATTATTGTCCATCTTGTGGAAGTGTTTTCATGGCCGAGCCGGCCAGGTCGACTTGTTACTACTGAGCAGAGAATTCATTAGATTCATACCTACCCTGTGCCAGGAGGCAGAGGGTCACTAGTTGTCAGGGAGTACCTCCAAATACGCCAGTTACATCTACAGTAGTTTAACCTAATTAGACGAAGCTTTTAGATTAGGTGATATCTGTCACATTTACTTTTAGAGCGTAGCTGAATCTCTCCTGCTTTATTGTGGTTGATTCACCATCGTGTAGTAGAAACAGTGATAACATCTGTACGTTCATCCTGGGAAGGGATGGTACGTGGCGACGGACTGAGACACGCTCGTGGGTGAATGGACCACAGGATCAGATGCTGAGAAAGCTATCCTGTAGAAGGCCGTGTGTGTGTGTGTGTGCGGTGTGTCCTGCATAGTAACGTTCATATCTTTGGTGCCGGTGCTGGGGTGGGGGAAATCTCATTACTGACCCGCCACATTAAACCCCTATATAACCTCTCCTAACCTCAAACACCCACCCAGTGTACTACACACATCTCCACTAAAACAGTAAGCAACTGCAGTGTAAAAGAGCTTCAGGTGTTGGAGTGTGTGGTTTGTCATGCTGAAGTGTATGTTCTTGTACCTTGGATAAAGTGAGGGTCATGATATTCATGGTTGTGCGAAAGGCAACAGTTAGGGCAGGGGCGATCTCTCTTGGCCATAGTGGCGACCATCACCAGAGAGCACATATTTTCGCTTAGAGAACGGCTCCCCCTCAACAAGGATTTTATGCTCTTGGAGGATGGCTCACTAAAATAATTTCAGTTTTCAATTTCAATTGTTTATTCCTTGATAGAGGAAGCGGGATCCTAATGCTGTCACTAGGTACCCCTGTACAATGACACCAGAAGCATCTGGCAAGTGTGACAAGTATATACAGTATAAATATTATAAAGGGGCTTACTAAAGCCTAAGGAAGGAAGGATATCCTTTTAACACATAATCAATATTATTTACAAAATATCTGGCCAGTATGGGGAGGATCATCGTGTCTCCGTCAGGAGGTCGTGGAGTGGTGGTCCAGCAGGCGTCACGGAAGCGTTGTGTGTGTGGGGACATCTTAGGAGGTAGTGGATAAGGGTGCTGCTGTCGGGTCTTCTGCATAATGCACAAGAGCGTTGCTCAGGGGATGCCGGGATACCAATCTCCCAAGCAAAGTCATACCCAATGATGATACGGGCAGCCACACACTAAAATATATTTTTTTTTATCCTTTGGAGACGATGGCGTCGCCAACTGGCCGCTGTGTATAAAACACATTAAGTCCATTGCGCCTTACATGATATTGTGCGATAACATCAGATTTATTTCATAAAATTTATATAGTCAGTTGGTTATTCTCAATACAACACATTTATTATTTTACAATAAAATACTTAAGGAATATCTTTTATCTATTACACTAACCGGGATTATGCGCTTAATACCTTAGTTGATGAATCGCAGTAATACATTACAACATTAACACTAGGAACAAATATATTGAACACCCTAGGAACAACTATATTGAACACCCTAAGAACAAGTATATTGAACACCCTTTCAGAAGGCTTAAAATACTCGCATTATATACTTGTGTAGCGCACTAGCGTGTCTCCACCACTGGCTCCGCACCACACAGCCGCCTGTTGCGTGCTATGTGAATTTCACACCTAACTAAAGTTTTTACGTCACTTGAGCAATTTTCCACACCAGTATTATAGTCGGTCACGGTGACGGAGTGATTATCATATTGGGTTGGCGGAACATTAGTCACGGATGCGAGGGAATCTCCATTGAGGTGGCAGTGTGAAGGTTATCCTATACAGTAGTTGTCAGTGTACTACAGTATTACAATATGCTGTTTATAGGACTTAAGACCTATTTTAGAAGTGTCCTCCTCATTATTCCCCGCTACGTACATAGATAGATAATTATCAGCAAAATCGTCTTTTACGTTTACAGTTTGATGCATTAAACCAAGAATCCTTGAATAAACTAACCACTGTCCTGACCACCCCATCCTCTCCAATATTACTGTGAGTGCTCATTTTCAATTAGTGTGATCCTTCGAATATTTTCCAATATATGTCTGCTGAAAAATCATAAAATATTTAAGTTGATAATGTGTGAGAAGCGCGAGTTCACGAGTTTGACAATAAATATACAAATATGATTGTATGAAAGCAAGTTTTATCTAGTGTGGTATTAACGTATTTTTTTTTTTACATTGTGTACTGAAAAAAATATTGTTAAAAAGTGTTATCATTACCGAAAACTGAATTTATCAGGACAAAATCCATAGGAATTGCTCGGAATTGTTTTTCATTTTATGTTTCCAAGTTTCCACTTATTTGTTCTGACTCGAAAAACAACTTATGAAAAACGTTTTATGGAAAGTTTATTATACACTTAATAATGAGGTAAAAAAAATCTGGACATACTATTTGTACTATGTGTGTGTGTGTGTCAGACTGTCAGTTGAATGAACGTGAACCAGAGGTATACATTCTTAATATTTTTACCTGTTTCATGGCTGACTAATGCACTGCATATGTTAACTTAGTTTTTAAAGACCTTAGTTGTATTACTTTATAACAGAGGAGTAATAACGTGTCTTTCTCGCCAGGTGGAAGATGTTATCGACGAGATCCTTAACCTGGAGGAGGGTCTGGATGCTGCCGACAACCTCAAGGCCTATGACCAACTCGCCAATGTGCCTCCTTCTGTAAGTTTTACCTCCAGTAGTGAAGTATTGAGACCTACCCACTGTTAAGTTGTACCTCCAGTAGTTAACTCGGAGTCCGGGTCCGACTAATTACCCAAATGTACCCAAATGTAGCCAAATATAGCCGGAATGAAGTCAAATAATGGTCCTAGATGAATAAATCGGACTGCCAATCACTTCTCGACCAGTATTTGGTGCCAGAAAGTCACAAAAAATTGGAAAACTTACTTTAATCTGAGTTAATAGATCGCGTGCATGTACCGACGGAGCGAGGAATTACCCAAATGCGTCAATGAAGTCAAATAATAGACTCACTCACAAAAAATTGGTAAACTTAATTTAATCTGAGTTAATAGATTAAGTGCATGTACCTAACCTAACCTAACCTAACACAACACAACTCAGATTAAATTAAGTTTACCAATTTTTTTTGACTTTATGACACCAAATAATAATCGAGAAGTGATTCACAGCCCGAATATAGCTTGTACGACCATCATTTGACTTCATTGCGGCTACATTTGGGTAATTCCTCGCTCCGTCGGTACATGCACGCGATCTATTAACTCAGATTAAAGTAAGTTTTCCAATTTTTCGTGACTTTCTGACACCAAATACTAGTCGAGAAGTGATTAGCAGTCCGATTTTTTCATGTAGGACCATTATTTGACTTCATTGCGGCTACATTTGGGTAATTAGTCGGACTGCGGAGTCCTTCACATATATTGGTTGACCAGAAGGTTTTGACACATTTTAGGATCTCCTGAAGATTGCCCCCCCACAAGTTGTTTCACTTATTAAACACCCTAACACCACCAGGAGGGGGGCGGGCCAGGTTGGATTACATTACATTAGATTACGTTAGCTTTGGTAATATCTTAAGGTGAAATATGTCAGGATGCCTAATTAATTTTTTAAACTTTAGTTTCGTACAACCATGGAATCTGGATTTTTGAACACTTGCAATAGATATTATTATTATTGTCATATATCTCATCATTTTGATTAACTTTAATTCTACACTTCCTTGGTAAGTGAATTATAATAATGAATCTAATTGAACCTAACCTAACCAACCAAAGAAACCTACTTACTAGACGGGGGCTAACCCTCTGCCATATTAAAGAGAAATTACAGTACATATTTGGTATTTGGTACCAATGAAAGCCAACTTTGTTGAAGCGTCATGGTGTAATTCTGCCCTTTTGTGGACGTGAGAGTACACTTGGATAGAGTGGGTCGGTTGTAAACATAGTGAACAGGTGACAGCTGTTCCTGTATATGATAATAACAAGAGAATAAAACACACCCAATATCTCCGTTATTTGAGAAGAAAAAAGTCATAGAATTATTAGATCTATTGATTGCAGATGCCAAAATCCCCGAATGAGATGGTTGTACATAATTAAAATAATATAATTAATTTTCAGGAAATCCCATTTTAAGGAAGTACAGTAATTTATCTCATTGTTGTCTAGTGTAACGCTCTACTTGAGGTACCAATGTAATATTATGTCCAGATGTACTTAGGAAGAGCAGGAGACATTATAAAGGAAGAGATAGGATAAAGATAAGAATCACATGAAAATTTGGCACCCCAGCTTATTTCAACATGATCACCCTAATGCTAACCAAACCTGGCCTGACTTAACTTAGTCCTACCCAGACCTAACTTAACCCTAAACCTTACTTAATCAATCCTAAACCTAACCCAACCTGACTTAACCTAAACTAATGCTACAGTACTTAACCCAACAACATGACCTAACTTAACCTAAACTAATCCTACTTAACCTAACCCAACAACATGACCTAACTTAACCTAAACTAATCCTACTTAACCTAACCCACCCCAGCATAAAATAATCCCACCTAACCCAACTCCCCAAGGTAGCATTAGTCTTTAATCATCATGTGAAATAAGCTAGGGTGCCTTATCTTTACATAAACCAAAGGAAAATCTAAACTGTTCTTCATCTCCCACAGCAACTCAACAGCAGTGTACCAGGTTCAATTTGTGACATCCTAAATATCAATGGCTACCTGGGGAAGACCTCCAGCTCCTGCCCATCAGAGGTGTCACAGGTGAAGAGTGAGCAATCTGGCAATGATCAGCAGATGGTGGCCTTCATAAAAGACAGACAGAAGAAGGATAATCATAACATGAGTAAGTCTAACTACAGTACAGTAATTACAATCTACTTAAACATTAGTGATTTTAGTCTTTTTTTTATGTGTAAATGTTGGTAATACCTGTACTGTATTTTACTGTACTGTGAAAGTCATTTTATATGTACAGTCATGGTATTATCATTGTCTTGAGTCCTTTTGTCTGTTATAGTAAAATATCACCCTCTCTCTTTACCAACTGTTAACATGAGTTGCACTAGAAAAGCAAGTTCTTATGTTCATGACATTTTTTGGCAGGTAGATGTCAAATATCATGTTCTTGACTTTTTACTTTACATTTATTCTCTTTGCCACTGAGCATACAGCTATTATCATTATTATCCCCACTATGAGTATTCTTAAAATCTGTACACGTATTCACACTTTCTTCTTCTTCTTTTAGTTGAGCGAAGAAGACGATTCAACATAAACGATAGGATAAAAGAACTTGCTACACTCTTGCCCAAGAGCAATGAACCGTAAGCATTAATTACAGTGTACAGTATTTTATTATGTGTTAACTTTTTGTTTGGTCAAAATTTATTGAGGATTTCAATTCTCAGGCAGTTAGCAGGGATGTGCAGAATTTCAGGTTGTTTTTATGTTTGTTAATCATTGCCTTAAAATCCTTGTGTGTTTATCATAGTACAGTAATGTTATAGGTGATAGGAGATGGATGCATCTTATATAATAATTTTTGTGCATTATCAGCTTGAGATGTTTTAGTGTAACATGTACTGTACAGATATTTTAGAACAAACTTTTATCATCATGAGTCATCTTACATCATGGTACTATATGCAGGTATTTCGAGCTTGTCCGGGATCTCCGACATAACAAAGGACAAATTCTGAAGGCTTCTGTTGACTACATACGGAGGCTCAAGCTGGATATTGAATACAACAAGGAGGTGGAATCAAAGCGACGTGCCCTCGAACAACAGAACCGGCAACTTCACTTACGGATACAGGTACATATACAGTACTGCCACTGGCGGCCTTTTATGTAATATTTGAGCTGGGTAAGATACAGTATAGGTAGAATAATATCTGGCAATTACCTCAAGGTCAGAACAGTAAATTATTTTAGAAACATTGTGGTTCTTGTCACACATGAAGTAAAATTACCAAATCTATTCTTATTCATTTGTCTTCTCAAAAATTGGAATTTTTCTGCTAAAATTGAATACCTTAGACACTATCATGTAAGGAAACACTTTAGCAATACAGTATTTGATCTTTAGGTAGTACAGTATTGTCCACCTTGCCGTGTGTGTGTGCGCGCTTTTTAATCTATAATTTGTCAACGTGCTAGCCTAACATGTGTCACATTTACAGGAGCTGGAGACTAAACTTCGAACGAATGGCATCAAGGTAGAGGAGACCAACATTGACCAGAGCCTCTTGCTGTCTACACTTATCAAATCTGAGGTGGTAAATAACTCAGGGGGTCAAAATGATTTGAAGAAGGTGAGGTGTAACTACAATCTCACTGGATCCCTGCTTGACGTACGTGTGCCATGCCTCCTTTTGTTTCCATCACACCCCACAGTCACAATGATACATGGTTTTGCTTTTCTTGCACTATCTTCTTATATTAAAAAGATTCAATATATTTCTCTGATTTGACCAATGAGATAAAAGTGATATATCATTTGTCATTGTGATTGTTTCCTGTAGACAGTAAGTATTGCATTGTGTTACCAAAGCAAATGAGCATAATTAATGCTAGTGTGACTCACACTCCTGTCCACTTGCTTGCTGAGCTCATATTTAAGCTCACCGCTCCTGAACCTGTCATATGGCACACTATAAGCTTTATACTCTTTAGTTAGCAATGAACCTATTTCTGAAGTGCATGGCTTGTGTATCATTAGTGCTTCCAGTAGTAGAGCAAATCTTTCACTTGTAATTTTTTTGGCATGCAGAAATTATTTTGAAACCCCTAACCCCTTTGCTAGTGTGAAATGGCTACTTGCACCAACAATATATATATACTATTCTGACATATTGCTGTGTAAAACATTAAACTTATGATTGTGTTCAAACTTTTGCTCAGTGTATTATCAAGACCAACTACAGTACAATGAGCAGGTATAGAGTACTGTACTGTTATAAATTTACACTCCTCACTCTGTGTCATGGCTCATCCCTTATCTCAGCCAATAGTTGCCTTAGTTCTATACTGTACTGTAATTTCCGTTAAAATAAATAAATATAATAAAAAATAAAGTTTCAACTACAGTACAGTTTTTACTATTTCCAGTATACATTATTTTATTGTGTTGTACATACCAGGAAAGGTGCAGGTTTCTGTGGATAAGACACACTGTACCAGTATTTTGAACAACAATTCTGTAAGATATCAACAAGGTGGGATTCCTCGCATAGTACTGTAGTATTATTAATTTGAATTAGCGGTAATTTTAATACTGTACTGTATATTATATCACTTCATCACTTATCAGCTTACTAGCCATTTGGGTGGCTGGGCTGTTGTTTTGTTCCTTTGTTATGAATTTTATTGTCTCGTGTTAATTTAGGAAGAAATTGGTGTACCTGGAGAAAACCTGTGGTGTTAGGTAGGCTCACACTGGATAACACCTTCCCATCTGTGTCTTGAACCAGGACTCGCACCCATGACATAGTAGTGAGAGATACTGTCTTAATATTTCAAGAAACTTTTAATTTTTGTTCTATAGTATTGTACAGTACAATATCTATTAACAACAAGTCAACTTTACCAGTGTGTCATCCAAGGTACTGTATATGTTATCATCACTGACATTTGTGATGTATAAAGTAAAACAAGTACCCGGTACAGTACAGTACATATTCAGAAAAATCCTATGCAGGTACTCCTCGACTTACGACCTACGCGACTTACGACCACCCGGACATACGACCGCCCCAGTCTTATAAAATATTTTTCAAATTACGTATTTTCGAGTCCCAACGTTAGTGATTGCTCTGTGTACTGACAAAATTTTCGTGTGTAATTCCCTTTAAAATGGCTGGCAAGCATAAAAGTGAGAGTTCTCGTGGTGCTGAGAAGAAAAAGAGACACCCATTTTAGATTTTCCATGTATCATTTTCACATTTTCGACTTACGACCTGGTCGTCGGTCCCTAACTCCGTCGTAAGTCAAGGACTGACTGTACTAAATGTACTACATAAACAAGTCCATGATACTTAAGAATATTAACAAAGTATTGCATCCCTCTCATTTTTCTATTATATAATTACATTAGTTATATTACTATTACAAATTGAATGGGCTGTTGATCTTGCACCATGTCTGTAGTAAACACTCAGGTAGTCAAGTACGAGTACTGTATCCCCCTTTTTCATTAGTTATCAGTTAGCAGATGGTTACCTGTTAGAAGATTGGTGATGTACTGTTTATTTTATTCTTTAGCATTACAAGTCACTTCTCACTTCAACAGTACTTACTGTAGTGTGAATGAAGAACAACATAGAATTTCTCCATTATTTGTTGCTGTTCATTTATTCTGGTAACTCTTATTATGTGTTCTGTTAATGGTTATATACCGTATTTTACATTTTTGGTGTCCTTTTTTTTTTTTAATTGTTGCCTTTCAAACAAAGTCTTACCATTCTTCATTCAATACAGGAACTCTTGGAAGACTTCACATCAGGAGGATTTAACTTGGACTTGATGGATGATGATGGTCCAGCCTTCACTAGTGACCCCGTGTTCTCATCACCACAGGTCTCCTCCCCTAACTCATCTCACCACTCATTTGATGATGCTCTTACACCAGACTCCATGGATATTGTTGCGTGATTGTATATGGTTGAGAGTACCCTTATACTAACCTCCAAGGATGTTGGAGTTTAAAAATATCTAAAAGAAAGGATGACGTTCTCCCGAGAATGATGGTGATGTAGTGAGCATGAATCATGAAATGTAAACAGTATTCACCATACATACATACATGAAGATATAATTGTAAGATCTCAAATGATGCACTTTCTTTCATTATTAGACATTTAGTAATATTACAATAGAGTAAATAGACTTCAGATGATATGAATGTTCCTTATAAAACATTCATTATGTTGAAGAGAAAAATATGGGAGTTAAGAAAAAATACAAATGGATTCTGTGTGTGTGTGTGTGTGTCATTGTTAATTCTTCATATTTTTTACTACTACAAGGCCTAATTACTTCCCAAGAAGTATCTTGTAATGAATAATGTAGAAAACAATGAAACCATCTTAAACTACTGTACTGTATCACATTTTACGGTCTCCCACTACACATGATTGCACCTCCCCAGACAACAAAGTTAAACTTGGTTTGGAACCTTTACTCAAGTGACTAGTGCCGAGCATATAATAAAAAAGACATTTTTACCTGAGTTTAGCCCAGTTACTGAACTTGGATCTCAAGCTGCCATGTGTGTTAAAAATGTGTCAGGTCAGACAAGAATCCTATTCTTCCTCGTCCACAACAATGCTACAACCACTTGGTAGTCAGCCTGACTAACATCACCAAAATTAATCCAGTATTGTACTGTACTTCAGAATTTTTATTTTATTTTTAAAGTTGTCTGGTTCCCCAAACTTATAAATTTCTGCCTTTTCCTGCTCCCAAGTTTTAATTTACCTCATATTAATTGAAGAGAATTCTTACACATTTAAACACCATGTTTCTTGCTATAAACAAACGGCTATCTGTATAAGACGGCCAAAATAGCATACAGATTTCTTCAGCAGACACAGTATTCATTTAAAGCAGTGCTGTTTGGCCTTTGATGCTTATTGATGTAGATATCCCAAAGGTCAAAATAGATTCCATGTTATAAGTTTCCACATGTACAAGTTATTATGAATAGGTGGCAGAAAGGTAAATATTAAGTAGGGGTAAAGACAACCCAGGTTTGAAAAGATGACTATATGAATGTGACAACTGCTGCATGCAATTATAAACTGGTTCACCTTCACATTATAAAGTTTTCTGCAAATGAAACAGAGACTATAAATACATTATCAGATGTAAGAAATTAATGGTGTTAGCCAGATCTTCTTGTGTACCTCAGAGAAGACTGTCAGTGATGGGTACCTGAGCCTGAATCCATATTGTATTTTTCAATAAGCATTCACTAATAACTATGAAGTAAGATAGGAGCTGTAACTAACCTTTTTGTATGAAGTGCAAAAAAACAAACTTGAAATTGCTACTTTTGTTATTTCACTTAATGTGTTGTAGGATCCCTCCAGCAATTACAGTTTGTAAAAGCCAGTATCACTCTGTTAATGTATTACCTTTTATTAATAAGATGTAATAAGCAGTGGGTTGATGCAACGAATGTAATAATGTATTATATTCCTTTAAGTTACAAATACAGTAATACCACTGTTGGTGGGATGGATAGTGATTCATTCTTAGTCCATTACCATGTTTTGTTATTTCATAAAATACATCTAAGTTGTTAAAGGTGTTAACAACTATATTGTTCTGTATGACATAAATTTTTAAACATTTTACAAATGTAATATTTTGCACTCAGTCTACTATAAAAAGATGATAGGAGAAATTCTTAAGTTTAAGTGTTCAAAATAGACATTTGAAAATAACGACACAAAGAGTACATAATCTTGACTATGAAACTGTACATAATGTAAGCCTTAATGACCTGGGCATCCCAAGTCATAAACAAATGCTTCATGACAGATTATATACATAATGATAAAAGGGAAAATTAACGGCTGTAGCTACAAAAAAAAAAGAAATTTCTAACATATCAATTTTAATTATACTCAACAGTGATTAATTACAGAATTTTAGTACTAGTATGAACTCATGCAGAGAAGTTGTTGGAAGTCTTGTGTGTACATCTGTTAGCTCATTGTAGTGTGCAAGTTGTTTTGAGTGCATGAAGGAGTGGTGTGTGTGTGTGGTTAATGCATTAAAATTTCATCTGATTCTTTCATTAAGCTTATATAAAGATGTATATAGTTTGTGATCTTTAGCTATAATTTGAATACTTTTTTATGTAGTCAGATGTATCAAATACTTACGGTTTCCTGTTGACAAGGGCTGTAAGCGGGAGTCATGAAGAGGTCTTTAATTATGAATTTCAAGGCCATTAGTTGAAGTTATCTGGTTTACGTCATTTGTCAAAGTTCTTTTGTTAATTTTAAGTGTAGCGCAAGACTCATGACAGTCTTGGAATTACAACCGACAAAGGAACCTAACTAACACGTACTTTGGATGCTTACACGAGAGGGTTGTCACGTACCCCAGTTCTTGCTCTAGATAACATGTTTGGGGACACTTTCATCTATGACAATACTTAAGTCACAGTCAGATAAAATACCATTTCTGTTTTATTTGGTATGTTATGTTTTGTAACAGATGAATTTAGTTCTAAGTGAAATATATATAGTAGTAATTAACAAAGCAAATGATGGAATAACCCATACATGATGATACATTGCAGTGTATTATTATTACATCTGGTGTGTAAATGCTGTAATTAATGTACACTAAAGTTCATAACATCTGCTGTTTGACCCTTTCAGGATTGCTTTTAATTTTTTATGCTATGAAGCCAATGGTTACATTAACTAGATTGTGGAGGAACAGAACCCCAGCAACTACTAGTGATGGCATAAAGCAACAAGCACTCCAGTTGCACTTAATGAGACAAGGGAGGGAGGAGGTGCCTGTACATAATACTGTCTTGTGTCATCAGAGTTAAGGAACTCATTCAATTTATTCAGTGTTGCCTTATTTTCTGTGTACATCTTATAATATTGCCTAATAGTACAGAATTTATGTTTCAGTGTCAGTTTGGGCAACAAAATACTGTTTGTTATTGATGTAGAGACCATAGAATGAGTTAATTAAAAAGTTGCCATAATTGTAATGTATCCAGCCTAGAATATCACTTCACAATTGTCTTATCCTGAAGGTGAGAATTGTGATATCAGAAATGATCATGATATATTCTGTGTGGTGTAATATCTTTTTTTTATGTCACTCATTGTGTTGTCACCACTTAATGTTGTTAGGCTGAAGTGGTGAAGTCATTTACCATTCATGAAAAGACAAATGGAATAAATTGTATATTTGAATAATGACATGAGATTATTTTCCATTCCTCACTATTATTAATGAGGTACTGAATAAAATTCCATTCTGAGTTTGTTTGGTCATAACTTTTAGTGATTTCAACTTTCTGTAATGAATGTATGTATATACAGCTAGGAAACATGAGACTACCAATACAGATATATCACAACAGTCCATATACAGTACATGCAGACTTCCATATACAAACAATACCTATTAACACACAGAGGTCCAGGGTTTGATTCCTGATTAGTGAGGTATTGTTTATTAATAGTCAATGGTTAGTTGACAAGTATGAGTTACAGTACCTCTGTTAGAACACCTCAAACTTAAAAACTGATCCAGTCAAATGTACTCCAGGATGTTGAATTATGTCTTCCAGAACTGTACCAGTGTTAGTTCAGGATCAGTGGAAGTTGCCTGATAATGCCTCCTGAACATTTACTTCATGTAAAGCTTCTTGAAGTTGCTGATCACATTCTGGTCCATTGGCTGTATAATTGATGTAGTGTTGGGAGGCAAAAACAACACTTTGACAGTCAAATCTAGCCTCCAAAGTGCTGGCAAGTTGAGGGTCATGACCAGGGGCATTATCCATGAGGAGAAATTTCCCATTTTCTATGATGGATGCATAAAAGAAAATGGAAATTTTTTTCCATTTTCTATGATGCATCAAAGAAAGTAGATTATCGACTTTTTGGGAAATATTACCCAATTTTCCGAAGTAGATTATCATAGAAAGCAGGAAATTTGTATCACAGAAAATGTGAAATATCTACTTTCTGGGTAAGTTCGTTATCTACTTATCATAGAAAACGGGAAAATTGTATCATTGAAAATGGGAAATATCTACTTTCCGGGAAAGTTGGTTATCTACTTTCCTGAAAAGTAGATTATCTACTTTTCGGGAAAGTAGATTATCGACTTTTCAGGGAAGTAGATTATCGACTTTTGGGGTAATATTACCTAATTTTCCGAAGTAGATTACCATAGAAAGCGGGAAATTTGTATCATAAAAAATGGGAAATATCTACTTTCCGGGAAAGTTGGTTATCTACTTTCCCGAAAAGTAGATAGATTTTCTACTTTTCGGGAAAGTAGATTATCGACTTTTCGGGGAAGTAGATTTTCGAATTTTGGGGGGAATATTACCTAATTTTGCGAAGTAGATTATCATAGAAAACGGGAAATTTGTATCATAAAAAATGGGAAATATCTACTTTCCGGGAAAGTTGGTTATCTACTTTCCCGAAAGTGAATTATCTACTTTTCGGGGAAAGTAGATTATCGACTTTTCGGGGAAGTAGATTTTCGAATTTGGGGGGAAATATTCCCTAATTTTGCGAAGTAGATTATCATAGAAAACGGGAAATTTGTATCATAAAAAACGGGAAATATATACTTTCCGGGAAAGTTGGTTATCTACTTTCCCGAAAAGTAGATAGATTTTCTACTTTTCGAGAAAGTAGATTATCGACTTTTCGGGGAAGTAGATTTTCGAATTTTGGGGAAAATATTACCTAATGTTGCGAAGTAGATTATCATAGAAAACGGAAAATTTGTATCATAAAAAGTGGGAAATATCTACTTTCCGGGAAAGTTGGTTATCTACTTTCCCGAAAAGTAGATAGATTTTCTACTTTTCGGGAAAGTAGATTATTGACTTTTCGGGGAAGTAGATTTTCGAATTTTGGGGGAAATATTACCTAATTTTGCGAAGTAGATTATCATAGAAAACGGGAAATTTGTATAAAAAAAAATGGGAAATATCTACTTTCCGGGAAAGTTGGTTATCTACTTTACCGAAAAGTAGATAGATTTTCTACTTTTCGGGAAAGTAGATTATTCACTTTTCGGGGAAGTAGATTTTCGAATTTTGGGGGAAATATTACGTAATTTTGCGAAGTAGATTATCATAGAAAACGGGAAATTTGTATCATAAAAAACGGGAAATATCTACTTTCCGGGAAAGTTGGTTATCTACTTTCATGAAAAGTAGATAGATTTTCTACTTTTCGGGAAAGTAGATTATCGACTTTTCGGGGAAGTAGATTTTCGAATTTTGGGGGAAATATTACGTAATTTTGCGTAGATAATCATAGAAAACGGGAAATTTGTATCATAAAAAATGGGAAATATCTACTTTCCGGGAAAGTTGGTTATCTACTTTCCCGAAAAGTAGATAGATTTTCTACTTTTCGGAAAGTAGATTATCGACTTTTCGGGGAAGTAGATTTTCAAATTCTGGGGGAAATATTACCTAATTTTGCGAAGTAGATTATCATAGAAAACGGGAAATTTGTATCATAAAAAATGGGAAATATCTACTTTCCGGGAAAGTTGGTTATCTACTTTCCCGAAAAGTAGATAGATTTTCTACTTTTCGGGAAAGTAGATTATCGACTTTTCGGGGAAGTAGATTTTCGAATTTTGGGGGAAATATTACGTAATTTTGCGAAGTAGATAATCATAGAAAACGGGAAATTTGTATCATAAAAAATGGGAAATATCTACTTTCCGGGCAAGTTGGTTATCTACTTTCCCGAAAAGTAGATAGATTTTCTACTTTTCGGGAAAGTAGATTATCGACTTTTTGGGAAAGTAGATTTTCGAATTTTGGGGAAATATTACCTAATTTTGCGAAGTAGATTATCATAGAAACGGGAAATTTGTATCATAAAAAATGGGAAATATCTACTTTCCGGGAAAGTTGTTTATCTACTTTCCCGAAAAGTAGATAGATTTTCTACTTTTCGGGAAAGTAGATTATCGACTTTTCGGGGAAGTAGATTTTCGAATTTTGGGGGAAATATTACCTAATTTTGCGAAGTAGATTATCATAGAAAACGGGAAATTTGTATCATAATAAATGGGAAATATCTACTTTCCGGGAAAGTTGGTTATCTACTTTCCCGGAAAGTAGATAAATTTTCTACTTTTCGGGAAAGTAGATTATCGACTAAAAGCAGATTTTCGAATTTTGGGGAAATATTACCTAATTCTATGAAGCAGATACAATCAGCAGAAAACGGGAAATTTGTATCATAAAAAATGGGAAATATCTACTTTCCGGGAAAGTTGGTTATATACTTTCCCGAATAGTAGATAGATTTTCTACTTTTCGAGAAAGTAGATTATCGACTTTTCGGGGAAGTAGATTTTCGAATTTTGGGGGAAATATTACCTAATTTTGCGAAGTAGATTATCATAGAAAACGTGAAATTTGCATCATAAAAAATGGGAAACATTCATTTTCCGGGAGCAGTTATCTACTTCCCCGAAAAGTAGATAGATTTTCTAATTTTCCGGAAAGTAGATTATCGACTTTTTGGGAAAGTAGATTTTCGTATTTTCGGGCAAATATTACCTAATTTTAGGAAGTAGATTATCATAGAAAACGGGAAATTTGTATAATAAAAAATGGGAAATATCTACTTTCCAGGAAAGTTGAAGAGTCTACTTTCCTGAAAAGTGATACATTTTCACTTTTTCAAAAAGTAGATTATCGACTTTTCGGGGAAGTAGATTTTCGAATTTTGGGGGAAATATTATCTAATTTTGCGAAGTAGATTATCATAGAAAACGGGAAATTTGTGTCATAAAAACTGGGAAATATCTACTTTCCGGGAAAGTTGGTTATCTACTTTCCCGAAAAGTAGATACATTTTCTACTTTTCGAGAAAGTAGAATATCGACTTTTCGGGGAAGTAGAGTTTCGAATTTTGGGGGAAATATTACCTAATTTTGCGAAGCAGATTATCATAGAAAACGGGAAATTTGTGTCATAAAAAATGGGAAATATATACTTTCCGGGAAAGTTGGTTATCTACTTTCCCGAAAAGTAGACTCTACTTTTCAAATCGATAATCTACTTCCCCAAAAGTCGATAATCTACTTTTCAAAAAGTAGATAATCTACTTTTCAGAAAGTAGATAACCAACTTTCCGGAAAGTAGATATTTCATTTTCAATGATACAAATATCCCGTTTTCTATGATAAATAGATAACCAACTTTCCCAGAAAGTAGATATTTCCCATTTTCTGTGATACAAATTTCTGCATTGTATGAAATCTACTTCGAAAATTAATATTCCCCAAAATTCGAAAATCTACTTCCCCGAAAAGTCGATGTCTACTTTCGAAAAGTAGATAGTACTTTCAGAATGTAACTTTCGGAAAGTAGATATTTCCCATTTTTATGATACAAATTTCCCGTTTTTCTATGATGAAATCTACTTCGCAAAAGAGTAGGTAATATTCCCCAAAATTCGAAAATCTACTTCCCCGAAAAGAGTCGATAATCTACTTTCCCGAAAAGTAGAAAATCTATCTACTTTTCGGGAAAGTAGATAACCAACTTTCGGAAAGTAGATATTTCCCATTTTTATGATACAAATTTCCCGTTTCTATGATAATCTACTTCATAAAGGTAGGTAGGCTAATATTCCCCAAAAATTCGAAATCTACTTCCCCGAAGTCGATAATCTACTTTCCCGAAAAGTAGAAAATCTATCTACTTTTCGGGAAAGTAGACAACCAACTTTCGGAAGTAGATATTTCCATTTTTATGATACAAATTTCCCGTTTTCTATGATCTATGAAATTAGGGTAATATTCCCCAAAATTCGAAAATCTACTTCCCCGAAAAGTCGATAATCTACTTTTCCCGAAAAATTAAGATGAAATACCACTTTTCGGAAAATGAATAACCAACTTTCGGAAAGTAGATATTTCCATTTTTATGATACAATTTCACGTTTATGATAATCTACTTCATAATTAATTAATATTCCCACAGATTTAAGTCTGCCACGAAAAGTCGATGTCTACTTTCCCGAAAAGTAGAAAAATCTATCTACTTTTCGGAAGTGACCTTCCTTCCCGTGAATAACATTTTTTATAGTACAGTTCCCGTTTTCTATGATAATCTACTTCGCGAAATTAGGTAATATTCACAAGGGTTAAATCCGCTTCGAAAATTCGATAATCTGCTTTTGAAAAATTGA